CCTTAAGTTCGTACGAATCGAGTAGAAAGCATGAAAACATAGCGCTGAAAAGTACCATGACTAAACAATGAAGTTCACTCATTCGGCAGTAGAACTAACTCCATTTTACCCGCACCACACGTTTGCGGTCCATAATTTAATTCTCAGATATTTGACGGGTTCTCACATGACAATATTATCGAAATCAAATTACCGATTCAGACTTAATGTTAACATGGACTTCGCTGACTCAATCTCATTTATTTCAATTTTGGGAAAGGCTACCACTTCGCCCTTAGGCTAAAGCAACACTTCTTCCACAAGGCGTGATTTTTTTAAATGAACAGAGTAGATCCTACGATAGCTGACCGAAGAGAGAAAAAGGTAGAAACTTGCGCTCGCCATTCGCTATCATTTGAAGGCTTTTTAGGAAAAATAAAATCTGTAAGATAACTTCTTTTCCATTAACACCACGACTGTATAAAACACTCCAAACGACAGGCCAAAAAATACCTTGAAGAATACGAACACTTTGAAATGTTCTTCGAGCGATGAACCGGCGCGAGGGTTTTTAGGCGATGAAGGCCAAAGTCATTGTTTTACCGAAACGTGATTTTAACTATAAACTGAAGCTAGTATTAAATGACGATTGGTAAAAAGGTTTGAATTTTTCTGGGCCTTAACGTTGAAGAAAACCCACATAATACACGAGTTACCTCCCCGTCTTTTTCGGATCCTTTGTACTTCGCTTCTCTTTGTCAGTGACCTCTTCTCTGTCTGTTTTCAGGAGCGTCTTTGTTTTTCCTTCTCGCGTTGCTCTTCGCTAGATATTGTCCTTTTTACTTATGTCTTTTCTTGTTCTCTTTCGCGTTCCTTTCACCGTATTCTGCCTATTTTGGTGCCCTCTCTAACTTTCTTGCCCGTTTTTCTCGACTCGCTTTACGTCTTTTACTTCTTGTTTTCTTTGGTCGCTCAGTCTCTTTCTTTTCATTCTATTTCCACTCAAAACCCTCTCTCCACAAACTTGAATCATAACAATTTCCTCCCGTTGACAAAGCTTTAGCTCTGCCGGTATTGTTGCTTTGCGAGTTGATTAGAAATTGTAAAATACTGAGAATTACTATTCAACTTCAACCTCACCAGTTTGATTTCGCGCTCAAAACGCGGGTTGCAAATTATTTGCTTACGCAGCTTCATATCCACTAGCCAACGCGAGGTCCTCGTGCAATGCCTAGCCGTGTGCCCGCGGTACGCTACACTAAAGCTCGACACTCGAGTATGCGCACTTCATTGTCATCTGCCGGTGTTTCCTGGCGCACACTAATGGGGTATTCAAGTTACGCGCGCAATCGCGCCTCCGCTTACCTTCTCCCTCGCCCTTCCATTACGTAATGGCTAAGATAGTGCCCATGGTACGGTTAGCCACGCATGCTAAAAGCAGCACCTTGTACGGTCGGTCGTACGGTCTCAAGTCCAAATTTTTTGCTTGATGGGTTACTACTATTTCGTATAACTATGGGGCTATGCTGCGCGCGCTTCGCGCGCTGCGAGCTCCGCTATAATAACAACGATAATTTTTATCAATAGTAAGTAATGTCATGGTTAAAGAAAAGTATCCTAGCGACAAAATATAATAAAATCTTCAGCGTTAATAAAATTTGACAAAATTAACCATTCCGCAATCATCACAACAAACTATCCGGACATGGATTAGGCATCGAAAGGAAGTCTCGTGACATGAAATGGCCGCAATCTTCAAAGCACGCGAACGCGACAATACTACAGTCTACAATCCACAAGGCGGTCAAAAATTTTCTGACGTTTATATTTACATAAACATGTGTACATACGAAAGCCTCGAAAAAAGGGCATTCGTTTTTCAACTAAATTAGAGCTACCAATAATTGATTAAGTTTATACTGGGTGTTCCTCTGATTTACCCGGAGAGCTATTTTTGCAAATGAACCACCCTGTCAAGTTCGATTTCAATCCAAATTGGATCATTTCAAATCATCCTATTTTTACCAAGTATGCTGAGACGCACGCACTTGTGCGTGGGAGTTAACTGATCGCGAAGGATTAAAATTCTTCATCAAAACAATACCCATAAATTTTTTTAACGAATATAGATATATTTTTACCCGAGAGAGGACTTTAGTGAAGGTTAAACCAACTTCAGAAGGCAAAGTCAGTTGTGTGAACCGAGGTGAGTTATTTTCCGAGAAGTAAGCCCTAAAACTGTTCAAGGACAAAATTTTCGGCTTAAAAGGTTCTTGAATTGTGTATATAACTCGTAAGAACCTTAGCAATTCCAAAAATTTACAAAAAAAAACCGCACGAAACGACCGTTAAGTTTCAGGAGCCGCAATCGAAGCATGACACTCTAAGTGGGGAACATCCATTACGAGGGCTTAATCTATTGTAGTCTTCGATTTCGATAGACTAGGACTAAAACATTGAGTAAGCTTGAAAGTCATATGGTCAATTGGTATAAGTAGCCAGCTCGTCATTCGGGAGCCCGGGTAAACCACATGATTGCTGAGTGGACCACAACAAATGTTTACGATCAGTCCCTCATCTTCTGTATGCTCTGGGGTGCCATCAGAGCAGAATTTTTTTTCATTAGCAAGCGAATTTGATATTACTGTCAACAATGCTTCATTCAATGTTTCCGGACAGTTAAGAAGCATTTTTCAGATATCGATTAAGTAAACGTTTAACTCGCGTTGTATTTTTGATTTACAGCTCTTAAAAATCCATAGAGAGCTGTCTAGAACTCTAAAAACAATAACTCGTACTTTCAATATGACGACTTAGCAGTAAATTACTTACTTTTTTTTTAGGGTGTTTCCCAAGTTTCTTCCACCGATCAGCATGTCGCACCATACTTTGATGTCGGGGACATCGTTAGTGGCAAAGTCGATCTAAGAATTATTGAGTACCATGAAAAGAATTATTTCCTTGTAAACCATTTTAGCCCGTCTCCTTCATACTCAATTTTTCTTCTCCAAAGCTGTGGTTGAAGGAAAAGATAAACATTCAAACATTCAACATTCCAGCCCTCGTGGTTAGAAAAGTATCAGTGGCTTGTACATAACCCTTCTGAAATGAGAAGTTTTACGCAAATATTGCATGATGCATGATAATCCGTCGGATCCTTGAGCACATTAGAGGCCACTTTTAACAGCTCTGTTCCAAACACTGGAAAAAACCCACTTGTAAAGATGAGGTACTTGAGCGTCATCAGAAAATGCAGTGTCATCAGCCAGGTGAGGGCACTTGACACCGGCATTGCGCTAGTCTAATGTACTCATTAAACCAAAGGAAACCTAAACATTGATACTGACGATATCTGTACAACATTTTTAGCCAGGCGAGAAGGATATGACGGCAGGGGGGAGGGAGGGGGGAGATTGGGTTGGGGTTTGTTGGTTGTTGGGGAGAATTATGGCGTTGCGGGAAGAGGTAATTTGCCCCATAAAAGTTTTCTGGACCGCCCATATCAAAATTTCCTGGGTGAAATATGCAGGAGTAAAGTGTTGAAGATACACATGTATTCATAGCCAAGGGATCAATTGTAGACCGGCCCTTCTACTGTTGGCATTTATTGCATTTTACTCCATTGCTGTAAAAGCTATTTTTGTTCATAGGCAAAAAAGCACAAACATCAAAATCAATAACTATTTGTACATAATCATCTGGATCGGCAATACGCCCTTCCACATACAGGTGGGCGATTGGGGCAAAACTGTCATCCGAACTGCCAAAGAGCATTACCGGCAGGCAGAATGTGACATATCGTGACCAAAATTGATCCCACCTTGATCCTAACAATCTGCACTTAACGTATAAAACTCTGAGCACAAGGCAAGAAATAGAGCATAATCGGCCATTTCACCGGGGGGACCTATAGTATTCAAGGTCAAAGAAAAGTTCTCATATTGTCATTTTTACTAAGGGACGTGTGTCAACTATAGATAATTAAAGCACTGCAATAAGTTTCGCATTGCTGATCTTGCAAGGCAGAGCGAGTTGAAAATCTGGCTAGGCTTGGTTTTTTTATTGTGGTAGAGTCGATTGATTCTTGGACATTCTGTCAGTCGCACCTTAAATTCATATTTTTTTAGATCAAAGATCAAGTTCAAACGCCATCAATAAAAGCTTTAATCATCTTCCACGATAATTGCACTGACGACCATGTTCGGAGAGCGCTTGGTAAAAATTGGTGCTCAGAACCTTTTTACGTTATGAGGATAACCATTGCACTTTGGGTCCCAGACTCCCTCCTCCTCGTTAACCGTTACCCGCTCCTTATTTTCGGTTTTAAAAACATCCTATTGCGTCGCAATTCGTCGATGTAAATAGCCACTGCAAATTTTGAACGTACATTACGGGAGTGGCAGGCTAACCGTTAACCGTAAATTGGGGAGAAAAATAAATTAAGAAATAAGATGACAATAATAATAATAGTGATAGTAGTAGTAATAACAAATAATAGCCGTTATAGGTGTAAAAATTGTCAAATTTCACCGTCAACTGTCGATTTTATTCTGGTAACCACAAAGGAAATTAATTGAATGTTAAATTAGCTGTAAGATGGCCAAAGGTTTAACCTTAGTCGTTAGAGCCATCATCCCATTGAGACCCCCTCACAACTTTTAAGGAAAAAAATTAAAGCTTCAAAGCTGCTATTTTTATTCTAACTGTTATGCAAAGAATACATCAGTGAATAAAAAGAAGAAAAAAAAAACTTCTTCATTTCAGGTGCCTCCATTGTCTTATCAATACTTCTGGAAAGTTCCTCAACTTGATTCAAAAATTACTGTTTGTCAGCAATTTTACAAAAGAGTGAGAACAATGACTAGCTAGGTGTCAGTATTTTCACAGAGGTTTACATCATTTAAAGTCACTGATCTTCAATACTTTTACTGGACTATGGCATCGTCTAAAATATAACTACTTAATTCCATGCTTCTATTATACGTTGGCATTATTCATAGTGACATATATATTGTACTATGCTAAAAATTAACTTTTAAGCTGATGGTTGACGTGTTGGAGAGCCTCTCTAACATGTTTCCTCCCGCGCTGGTTCCACCAATGCAATGGTACTTGTGGTCTAGAACTAAAAGTTTAAGCTTGGCAATTCGGTTGGATTGCTTAGAATACGGGTCGCTGTCCTTCTTCGGTGAATTGCTCGCGTTGTGATAACCACTGGTGGTGCAGATAAAATTCAGACTAAAGCTGATAGGAGTTGTTTGGTTTTCTAAATCTCTCACGCTTTGATTGGGCTTGATGTCTGGGGAATAAAATTGAAATTTGAAAAATAGAAATTGAGAGAATTATTACTGCCACAACGACGGCATGTTCAGAAATCCCTTTCCCCCGTTTCTCTTCCCCCCTCCCCCCCCCAAAAAAAATGGATCGTGGAAATCTACATTTCTCTTGCCTTTCTCTTCACTTTGTTTTTCTTTCGGCCATGACGTTTTTACCTTCATGCAACATATCAAAATATCTGAGAAAGTAATCCGCGTGTTCTCCTATTTCATCATTACCCTAAACGTAAGTGAAACGCTTCAAAGAAACATAGCCAACACCTTTTGTAAAGTAATAAGAAATAATCCTCTTCGCTACCCTTGGGTTGGTTTTGTTGGTTTGTAAAGCATATTAACATATGATGAATAATGGTTTTTCATCCATAAGGTGGTTGGCTTAGGATGAGTAGTTGGAGTGTAGTTCAGAGTTAAATTAGGGTTGATAAAAACGCTTTGGCTCTTCAGATCTTGGGGCATGAGACTATTAGTTACACCAACGAGACGAAGAACTATTTAGATAATGCGATCTTGATGACACAGCCTCATGCAATGCTGATGTTTTTTTTTTTTCCTTTTATTTCTACGCTACTTTCATTTAATTTACCAGTCGTCACCTGAGTGTTGTCCTTGTATTACTTTCCTAATCTGTTGCTTACCTTGTGGACCAATTTCGACTGATTTTCTTCTGCAGTGCGCAGGATATGGATTTCCTGCTTCACACGTGTAGTTCCCGAGTTTCTCTACCGTCAGGTTTTTGAGCATTAAAGTACATCTAAGTTTTAACACCATTGTTCTACCCTGCACACATTTATGTCCAACTGGCTTGCCTTGTGGGTCATACCATTGAATGTACTCGGTCCATCTATCGTAATATCCTGCATCAATACTCCTGGGCTGCGCCATACAAGTCAGGTTTACCGCTGTACCAACAGCTAGTTTCTGCATTGGTGGACTTGTGGAAATCTCTACATCAGGTATTACTGGAAGAGGGGGAAAGATAAAACCATTAACAAGTCTTATGGCACGTGAAAAAAATTGGCAACAGCCATTCTGAACTGAGTAACAATAAAACGAAATAAAAAATAATAAAGAAGAAAAAACCTGCCTCAGAAAAACCAAAAAGTGCCTTCACTACTTACTAGGCAGTTTATGGTTGCAATTTTTGCCGGTGGCTTGAGGGAGATGCAGCAGACCATTCATGACTATAAGGACCACCAGAAAAGATTTAGAAGCGTTATATGGACAATAATTGAGTCCCATTGTAACCACGTTGGCAAGAACCCGTGAATGTTGCTGTAATAGCCTGAAAGGAAGATTGCTCGCTTAATATAGGAAAAATCTCATTCTTAAAATAACATTAATAGCTTTCTCTGTTTAGAATTTAATTGTTGAGCAACTGTTGATCACATGATTATTTATAGAAGTAGGCGAAAACGAACCTTGCCTGGGCAACCCAATCACTGTCGAATCGTTTTAGTCTGGCAGTTAGGCGATTTTATTCTATTAATATAAGTGAGTGATTTGTTTCGATTACAATCATTGAATTTTTATTTTAACCCCAAGGAAAGAAATAAACCGTTCTTAGTAAAATGGCCAAAATTTTAACCGTTAGCCGTTGAAGTCATCGCCCCTTTGAGACTCTTGTTTATATTCAGCAGCCTAACAGGTCTCAGTCGGATAATTGTAAATTTATTTCTGGCGAAGTTTGTCACCACATGTACAAACATGTATGCTTAAAACTTTATACCATAGGCGTAGAAACGGAAGAAGAAAATATTGATAAATGTGAAAAGTACATGTATAACAGATGCTGAATGGGTTGATTGTGCTGAATGTGTGCAAGCCACTTACCTCGACTGTCCTTCGTGCTACGGGCAAGTACTAAAGAAAGTGCTTTGCAATATGCGTTTTATGCTCAATCCCTCGGAAGTATAGTCTTTCGAGGCATGTTAGTTTAACTTTCCGCAGAATGTTTGTCATTTTACCAAGCATTCCAATGATAGTGACAGTACTGTATTCAAACCTATAGACAGCTTCTTGTGCTTGAAATATCACGCGAACAGCTCAGCGACGTCTGTCCGTCATGAACGAGGGCCAAATATTTTCCCATCTGGCCCGATAAGCATTTTATCATATGACCACTGACTTAGTTTTGAGAATTTCGAAAATTTTTTTGCAACTTCAAAAGGACGCGATAGACTGACGCACGTGGGAAAATAGCAAGACGATTCTGCAACAACAAAAAAAAATAATAATAATAATTGAAACAAAATCTTTTCTTTCTTTTTTCCAGTCTAAACGAGGAATTCGCAATTCATCAAAAATCATATCTTATATTCTCATTTTCAGTTCACTGCTATCACTCTTTTTTTTTTACATCAAAGTCGTATGAGTGCATTGGGGCCAGACGTCAACCCTTTCTGCCTATACACTTCAGCTTTCACTATGATTTTGTAAGGGATTGCGCAAGTGGAGCCAGACAGATCATACGATAAATTTTGTCATTTTAGTGTGTATTTTCTTTAGCAAGTTGGGGTGGCTATGCTTAGTCACTTACTTTCTTATCAGTTATGTTTTCTTAATCACGTCGGTGTTGGGCAATCTTGAATAAAATGACACCCAAAAGCGGAAATTGACTAAAGTTGCAAATTAAGAGATTGCCTAGCTTGCTAAAACGTGCTGGATCGTATTTCTGTATGGTTCACGAGCAACTTTTTCCCCTAAGTACGTAATGACAACAATAATAACAATTTTGTACAATAGGAGGCAAACCTCTCCAGCCATGTCGCCATCCTCATAGTAGTGTAATCGAATATGACAGTTGGATCTTCGTTGACAGACTAAATTGTGCAATACAGGCTAATTTTTGTTAGGGATAAAAAAAATAATTAAAGAGTTGTCACCGCGAGAGCAAGAGTGAGATCTTGCTGGAGAGAAGAGATTTTGATATTGAATATGATTTCTTGCTCAGCTGAATCAAGTCGAATTTCCCTACGTAATCAAGATGATATGAGTCGTAAGAAAATGTTTCGGTTCACTTCTTTTGCTTGCCTGGCCTTAATTAAGGTGTTAGGGTTTATCAGAGAATAATGCGTCAAAATAATGGCTAAAAAAGGCTATGTTCACATAGCTAACATTCTGGTAAATTTCAGTTTGCTTAGCTCAGTATTGGAGGGAAGTGAAAATATTGCTAAAATGTGGACCTCTTTAATGGCAGTTACTGGAATATAGGTTGTGGAGCCCAAAATCGAAGCATAATAAAGATTTATAATGAAAATTAACTTATTTACAAACGAAACAAAGCAAAGCAAAATAAAACGAAACGAAACAAAGCAAAGCAAAGTAAAGCAAACCAAACCAAAAAAAAAAAAGCAAAAACAATAACTGATAAGTAAAATAAGTTATGAAATACGTTTGGAAGATTTGAACTGACCTTGGATACTCGCGAGTAAACTGATAAGGAACTTACGAAATATCTCATGACTCCACTAAATTCCAAAAATTCAACACAGCAGGATGCGAGCATGCCGGAGAGGCCAGGTGCAATAGGCATTTACTTTGCTTAGTTTGTGAGAAAATGTGTCATCAGTTCAGTGAGACAAGTGCACCCGGCGATTTTTTACCCTACCAAAGGCGCCGTTGTCCTGCCTTGGAGCAGGACAAATTTTTGTCAGGCGTGAAATCTGAAAGTTTTTGTTCTCCCGTTCTTTTGTATTTCTAGCAGAGAGAGATAATGTTTTTGGTTTACTTGTAGAGTTTTTTTACAGGATCCTCTCTTGCTTTCCTATGGTATTTTGTTGCTATTGTTGTTGCCTTTGTTATTAATCTGTAGGGTTGGAATCTCTTGCTCCATAACTCTCTACTTGAAAAGCTGTTTCAACTGGAGATCCGAGATTTATAGCTTTGTTTCTTATACGATGATTTAGATAGATTGAATAGTGTTCTTCAGCTAAGCTCGAAATAACAATTAAATAACTAACTTAGTTTCTTCGACTTTGTTCGTTGGAGGAAGTTGGTCGTTATTCGGTACTAGTTTCATTTTAACCTTCTGTGTGATGATCTCTTCTTTTGAATAATATGTACGCTTCGTTTTCGCTTAAGTCGCATACACTTCCCTCGCGACTATAAGTTGCGTTTAAAGTTGACTAAATCAACAAATCTAACAAATCAAACCATCGACGATAAAAAATTGGGAAAAAAATAGAAAAACTTAAAACCGTCTGGGTTTCAAATGTCTTAAGAACTAACTCAAATACCTAAAAAATAATTTACATCGCAATCGCATCGGTGTGGCGTTTCTCAGATTTTTGAATGCTTCCAATAATTACTATCTATCGTAACTTCCTGTCAGATTTCACAAAAGGAGAAGTAGTAGTTGTTATGTCTTTGGACTTATCAAAAGCGTTTGACGTCATCCCTCACTCTCTTCTTCTAGCCAAACTGAAAGCTTATGGATTCGGTGAGGAAATTTGCGCCTCTTCGAGAGATTATTTGAATGACAGATCACAGAGAGTCAAGATCGGGGATGCTTTCTTTACCTAGGAAACGAGTCAGACCGGGAGTACCACAGGGAAGTGTATTAGGACCTATATTATTTAATATTTTCTTAAACGATATGTTTTATCATGTAACACGTACCAAGCTGCATGTTTATGCAGACGATCAACAGATATGCGACTCTAATGTAGATCCAGTTAACCTGGAGGAACGTACGACTACGATTTGCCAGTTGCTAATCAGTGGTATCACAATAATGGCATGACTGCCAATAAAAGCAAGCAGCAAGCAATGGTTTTAGGCACTACTGATCATATGTTTTCTTTTGCTGCTAAGCCTTCAACAGACATATTGGTATAAGTATTGACAACAAACTATGTTTCGATATCAGGTAATTTAGTGTTAACAACTGGGTTGAAAACGTAAATTAGCCACCGTAAAGAGTAAAAAAGCTGACGTTTCGAGCGTTAGCCCTTCGTCAGGGCGATTCGAAACGTCAGCTTTTTTACTCTTTACGGTGGCTAATTTACGTTTTCAGCCCAGTTGTTAACACTAAATTACCTGCTATACTCTCCCACCGACGCAGCACCACAGTTTCTTTAGAAACTTACCCCTTTATTCATATGTTTCGATATCATATATCTCAGTACCATCTGCAAGAAGATAAACAATCAGTTTCGTGTTATGTTAGGGCTTCATAAACTGATCTCAAGTGCCACCATTTTACAAATTTACAAAGCTTTTATCCTACCGCATTTTCAATACTGCTCTACAGTTTGGCATTATTGTGGTGCACGTAATGCAGAAAAGTTAACCTCAATTCGTTAAGTAGTAAGCATCTCCAGTGCATGTTCATATTGTTACATAAGAGCTTGTTTGTAGAAAACTACCCGAATTATATGAAAACCGAGTTTACTCTTCGTTCTGCAAATTGCAACCTACGTGGTTATCACATCCTGTCACTTTCTCAGCCGATAACAACAACGTATGGTCTACATTCTTTAATTACTTAGCCGCTAAACTATGGAATTCCCTACCTGCTGGCCTGAGAGCCTAAGAGGATTTATATGACTTTAAGCGGACAATTCTTGGTTATGTCATTTTAACATTTAATATCACAAGCATGTATCTTTATATCAATTGTAAAGTACATCGTATTTTATTGTATTTTATATCAGTTTTATTAATGTATTATTTGATTAGTATGTAAATTTTATATTCTTTTCAGGATTTTTTATTTTCATTGTATTTTATTATATTTAACACGAAAACATCAGCTTTTGTAGCTACACTCAAATTTCGCGTTTAAATAAAGTCTATTTATGTACGTATGTATATGTAAGCTATACAACCAAATGTTTGTTGAACTTGCTTCAGTGGTAGAGGAAAACGAAACAATGACAGCTGTACTGAATGACCTCATAATGACCTCAGAAGATTGCATTAAATAACATGTTCTCGCGCTCGAAATTTCTATTTTTTTCTTAAACGTTTCAAAGTATAGGTTAAAGCCGAAACAAGAGATTATTTGTTTGTGATAGGACAACCTTTCATGTAGATCTAAAAGATTCAAAATAAGAAAATCAAGAACATCGCAGTCTGTCATAGAAACAATTTGCTTTGATAGCTAAATTTACCATTTGCTTGTGGCAATTGTGGAACATCAAGAGGAACTAATGGCCAATTTTTTTTCTCTTGAGACAATTTAATGGATCTTTTTATTTGGATAAGTTTAGCCATTCTGTAAAAAAGGGATGTAAATGATGATTTTTCATCAAATACCATTGCTAAAGGTCGTAATTAGCAGATGCTTACAGTCGTGAAAATATTGTTAACATTTATGTAGAATATTAATGCTACAGTCCAGCATTATACCTTCTCTCGTGTTCTCTTGTATCGTGCTATATTCAGAGGCATCAATTCATGTGGTGCTTGCGCTTGTCGGGCATGGCGGCGTAATTGCAGTTGCTGATGACGGAGACCGAGGTTTATCTTTACATAAGAAAATACTGAGATTGATTGAGACTGCCGTATCTTAAACCAATTAAAGCACAGCCCAGAAACCAAAAACAATTCAGCAGCCCCTGCGCGCCTGAATGTGACAACATATCGGTATCAGCCCCAGAGGCAAGGCGAGAAGCCTCTCTACACATATTGCAGTAGAAGTCTGTACGGATATTGTTACCAAAAAAATTCCGAAAAAATTGTTAACTTGACTGCATTAGTATATGATATTTCCTTTCGTGTTTAGCGTCCCCAATGCACTAGTTAACACAAAGAGTGGTTTTGAAATAAGTTCCATGCAAAGATCACTTATATTATAGCCAGACATCGAAAGAAGGGCGGATGGAAGTCACTTCACGAAGAGCAGTTTAAAAAAAAATTGTTCCAAGATGCAGTGATAGAGAGAAAGAGAGAAATGGTGAGAACTATGGCAAACCCTTCTGGAATTGTGCTTGTTGGATGTATATGTCTTCATTTTTCCTTCATTGTCTCACTTGCGGCGGCTCCGTCATTTGAAGTTTCAGGTGAAGGGAAAATGATTGAAAAGGATTTGAGGGAAACACAGTCTACCATCTATTAGCGTCAATAATCAATGCAAGATATTGCGACGGTTAATAGTCTCAATCTGTCATTCTGTCATTAGGAGAAGACCCGAAGAAAAAGAACCTTTAAAGCCTATGCAAATTTTTTTTAGCTCTTTCATTTTTACTATATTCCGCTTTGAAGAAATAAATAATCTGTCAAACTCTTAAGATTTCCAAGACAGCTGGGGAATTGTTATTTCGTACTTGATTCAGTTAGATGAGAAAAAAGTATGTGGTAAATGCGCAATTTTTGAATCTGAGTTCTTTACTGAGCGGTAAGATTGATTAGACTCGTTTTTTTTCCTTTGGTCTCGAGCGTGCAACAGAGGAAAAAAGTCTGAATCTCCATAAGAAATCGAACCTCAGACCTTCGGGTTCCGCGCTCCGATGCTCTACCACCGAGCCACAGAAAATGTACGATGAGCGATTTATTCTGATCACGAGCATGACATTTTTGACGTTGGATCTTAGTAGCATGCAGGATGAATGTAACATATGAACCTCGTAATGGCTTCCCTCACCCTAAAGACTCTGTGGCTCAGTGGACGGAGAGTCGGATCTTAATCTTGTACTATACTAATCAGTCCTATAGGCTATAAAACCAAATGCAGTTGGATTTGTATAAGAAGAAGAGCAAAAGGAAACAATCGACACTTTATTGGAGGGAAAACGAGTCATTTATTATCTCTTAATGATATAAGAATATGCGTGCTGACAAATCATGCTTTCACTGAAAGATCTATAGGAAACGATCATTTCGTATCCTGTCTTCATCTCGTGATAGAGCAGCGACCAAAAGAATCCGTGAACGGGTAAAACATTCAATTCATGAATTTACATTTTAACTTCTCTAAGTTTTTATTTTGGGTTTTCAGAGCAGTGCACGTCAGTTTTTGGTTCTCTTTTTCAGTCTAGTTTTCTAGTAGTTTAAAGGCAAATTGAGTTTATGCAGTGATGAAGAAATTTATTAGATTATTCCAATGTATACACATGGCTAACTGACGTTGTGGATCTTTACATTCAAATTTGTTGACTGACGTTGTAAATCTTCACATTCTAGTTTTGTAAAACAGTATAATAGTCAGTGTGTCGCAAAGGCTAATTTCCAACCTGTAATTACAACGTTAAATAAAGACAACAACAAAAGTAAGAGCGGGTTTTTCATTGAAAAGTGCGAAATTTGACCAAAATGGGAGAAAAGCCGCTTTTGTCCCAAGTCAAGTCATAACCATTCATTGAACGATCAAACTTTATATTGAAGTTATTTACTCTTTGCGGGGTCAACCTTCGAAGGGCTTGAACCATTTTTTTTTTCATTGAATATTCAAAGATCACGTAATACCCGAAAATTCGATGATAGGTTAGCTTTACAGTCTAAACAGAAAGACTTAATAAGATCGCTATTTAGTGTCAAAATAATTTAACCTGGACAATTATATTTTGGAATTTTTTCGTCTCAGTCACAGAAAATTTAATGGATCTTTTTTAACAAAAACCCTCACTTTTTGGATAATTAATTATCTTATAGTAATCTTTTCTGAAGCAACAAAGGAGTCGATTCATTAACTTTACACTATTCAAATATCTATTGCATGTATAGATTAGTCCGTCGTCAGACCAAATCACAAAACATGAAAGTAAATAATACAAAAGATAATTCTTAACCCTGTACACCGCAGGAGGTCCAAGTCACCGGATGCTTACACTCATCTAAATATTGGTTACATTCTGGTAAAGTAATTATTTGATGTGGATTAAAGTTATGATCAGTACACCTAAGAAATCGTGTACCACAACTAAATTGATGCACGACATAAGTTTAATTGTCTTGTCGTGTCCTTCACAGCTTGTTTCACTTCTCTTATCCTCCAGCAGTAAAGTATCGGGTTTAGCGATGAGTTAAAGCAAAGAATTGTGATTGTAGCTCGAAAGAAAGAAGATCCCAAAGCATCAGGTATTTTACGTGATGTCAATAGCATACCCACAATAGTAAAGGGAAGATAACAAATAAGCAAAGCAACCTGCACGCATGCAATACTATAGACTGTCTTCTTGTATCGTGCTATATTCAGTGGCATGAATTCATTTCGCGTTTGCACTTGTTGGAAGTGGCCCCGTAATTGCAGTTGCTGACGACGGAGAAGGAGATAAATCTTTACGTACGAAAAGAACGATATTAATAAAGATAATAACATCAATAAGTTCATTGCAAAGCGAGCCCAATCAAAATACCCCGTGCCGAATATTAATCCGATCACAGCACAGCCCATGAACCAAATCCATATCATGGTGGCTCCTGCACGACTAAATGTGACAATATGTCTGTATCTCAGCCCCAAAAGCAGCGCTAGAAGCCTGTCTAAACATATTGCAGTCGATGTTAGTACGGATACTGTTATCAAAAAGATAGCTATAGCGCTGCTGTAGTATAAAATATTTTCCTGCGTGTTTTGAGTCACAAATGAACTAATTACTGCCAAGCGAGGCAATAGAAGAAGTCCCACGAGAAGATCATTGATTGCCAAGCATTGCAATAACAGCTTTGTCGGAGGGTGAATAGAAGTCACTTTGCGGAGAGCAGTTAAGATCAAAGCGTTGCCCAAAAAGGCAGTGATGGAGAAAAAGATGTTAAGAACAGCAAGAAATATGAAAAATCCTGATGGACCCGTGCTTTTTGGATGTAATCCTATGGTCTCCATTGTCCCACTTGCGAGGGTAATGTTTATCATTGGAAGTTTCAGGTGAAGGGAACATCATTTAAAAGGATTTGAGAGAAACAAAGGTTGAAAAGAAGTAGAAGGAACAAGAAAGAAAATTTAAAAGACAGGATGTATCTTCTGTTCACGTCAATAATTCAGCCTGCGTCAATGACTCAATCTGCTCATCTGTCAATAAGGAAGACCACAAAAGAAGAAAAAAAACCTTTTAAGTCCAGGTTATCTATTTTTTTTCTATCCTAAGCGATGAATCTGTCAAGCCCTTGTTAAGACAGGAAATTATACAGTCAAACCTAATTCAGACAAGAATGGCCTTTAATTCTAGCCAATGGTTAATTCGATTGCATTTTTTATAATATTTTCCATGACGCAATGAGGCTCTCATCTTTGGGCAAAGCAGGAAAATGTCAAAAGAACGGAACTGTCAATAGATAATTGTCTTCAAGCTAACAGAGGTCTTTTTAAAGAGATGGGCCATATGAATCCGAAAAATTGGAGACTCAAAAGGACTTGAAGAGTCAAAATTTTGAGCACTAAATAGCAATTTAACGCACTCAAAACTTGGAGTTTTAAAAGCCTTACAAAATATGTTTTTGGGAGCTTCAAATGTAAGCGACTTTTATGTGGCAATTTTTATCAAGCTTCTATGCAAAACTCTGCAAGTAAAAGCAGCTCGGATAAAGAATGTTTCATAAGGCATTTTAGAACAAAATTGCTCTTAACACTGTTGAGTTACAGAAGGATATTGAAAAGAATCGGTGATTTTGTTCATGAGTTGTGCCCACTTTCTATTTCCGTCTTCACCATATTGTTAGTTAGTTACCCAGGCGATGACGAGAGCTAGAAATCAAAGGGAAACCCTTTGTTACTCCTAGAGGGAGCGTAGGGTGAACCAAAACGTGATGCGTAAAAATAAACAACAAGAAAAGGCTCCATTGACGAAGCTAACATACTTTTTCCTTTAAAGTAATCAAAACACTTCTTCCTGTTGACTTCTGCGCGTGCCCAAAATAGAGCATAAGTCCGCTACGCCAGAGGAAAAAGAAAAGAACGGAAATTATCTTTGTGTACGTGAACTAACGACTCATCGTTACTAATCGAAAATGTAATTTATAAACCAGAAGAAAATACCGAGATTTTTTCCAGTGCACCTTCCAGTGCTCCTGGAAGTTTGGCAGTGAGAGAAAAAGGGTAACTTGCGGCCTTTTACACAGCTTTTACGCTGTTTTCAGGTTTCCGCGCGAGGTGAATCGATTACAAGCTAGTTAGTTAGTAAAGATGTACTTTGAACAAGCATGATTGCAGCAGTTTCATCTACTTTGGAGTACCTGAGACGTTGGTATAAGGGATCTCTTGATTGATTTACTTGCTGTAAAGTAGATAGTGAAAATGTGGCCTGAAAAGGGCTTTGGATGGCAACAGACCTCATTTCTGTATTTTTTTAGGAACGGGACCCTTTTCCTCGCGATTTCTTTACCTTTTCCTTACCTTATTTATGCTTCTCGATTTCTTCTTTGATACTGAACACTATGCTATTCTGATGTCAAACTCTTTTACGCTAGAACATTTCCGTACGCTCGCACGACCTCTACAATTCTCTCTTTTCCGCTTTTCACTCAAATTAATTATTATTTAATTTGTAATTATTATTACTAATTCATATAGTGATTTATTACTACCTATACGTCTTTGACAACCACGACAGCAATCCATGAGGAACAGCTTCCCGCCATTACAGCATGCAACGGCTTCTGCTGGATGTTTTCTCACACATCGACAGGCAGTTTACAAGTGACAACTTTCACGCAAAAAAAAACAACAACAGTAAAACAATTCAAATTTATCGTTGTTAAGGCTCTACTTTTGGCCCTGTCGATCCCTTCCATAAATCACACCTCCTGTGTGACTGTTTTCCCAGGAACCAATAAAAAAATTTTAATTAATCGATTATCCCAGAGGTCATTTTGACCCTGGGCTCAAGATTGAAACTGGATCAGATGAGGATTTTGTCTACGCATGCGCTAGAAAAATTAAAATTTTGCCCGTTCGGCGCCATTCTAGTGTTTTGAGTGCGCATCCACGGGTTTGCCACCTTTTTGAAATGTCTTTTGAAGAGGGATTAAAGAGTATGCTAATTTTACCACCATGCTAACTCTGTGGATACTCTTGCAATTTGCAGGCTCTTAGGAGAGGATATTTTAATGATTATAGTGCAAACAAAATGTGGCAAAAGGCCGAAAACTTGAAGTCTGAGATTTGATTTACTAACGATTAAGAGTTAAACATGACACGACAAACCCTGAAGGTTAGTGTTATGGGTCTGTCCACAAGAGGGGCCGGGCAGGCGTGACACATGCCATCTCACCGATTTCCTTCAAACTTTCACGGTTTATGGGGTAACTAAGTCATTCGAGTATACAGAACGGTTCGGGTTCCCGGATAACCCTGGGGTATTAGAGCCCTACATCAAATCTCTGGAATAAAAGGATAAAATTAGCTCGAAAAATGCACTTCTAACAAACCTCTCTCACATTATTAGATTGTCATCTCTTTCTTTAAAAACTTCTAGTGTCTTCAGTCAACATTATAAAATGAACCTTCACCAACACTTTATCTAACTTTGGTTTAAGGAAAATATGTTAATTAACAGACCATTCCGACAAAATACATCAACACAATTTCAGAGAATAAATTTTTTTAAAATCTATAATTTGATACATATGTAAACAGATAACGATAAAATATTGACACAACTGTTAAAAAGTAACGAAAAGAGATTAAGTGGTAAACAAATTTGGTTGTAAGATGGTATTGCGTTGTTCCATAAAATGTCTATACCCCTCCTACCCCTCCTAGGCCGTGTGAGAATTTCAGGGAAGGGAAGCGGAGAGGGAGGGAGAGGAATGTATACAAGAAACATATACTGCAGCAAGTTCGCCATAAAAGACCGACACACTATTGGAGCTGGTTAGTCAATTTATTTCTGGTTACACGTCATATTTTTGCTGGTTAGGAGAGTAAATTTTGCTTGTTTATGGCCGATAATGTCACCTGTTTCCCTGCATAAGTTATTATAGCTCTAATTCAATTGTGAGTCCAAAGTGATCGGACACAGATTCATTTTTCCTTGTTTCTAACTTTATAATCTCTTTTCTCACCACTGAAACTTTAGAGCTGATGAAAATCGCATCGTAGTTACCACCATCTTGGTTGGTTTCCATTCTCTCTGGAAAAACAGACTGAAGTCCAACTTGACGCATTATTTTCAAAAGCTGTTGATATTCATCGCTTTTTTCACTTGTAGTCGGATGGTGGTTGTCAATATTAAAATCTCCAGCCACAATAAAGTGTGAATCTGAATTAAATTCCTGTAGGGCAGCGGCGAGTTCCCTTGCTTGTGAGAGCCTGGCATTAACTCCATGGGGATCTAAGTGTGTATTAATGACATAAAGGCGTTGGGAATTGACTGAGAACTCTCCAACAACAAAACCCCTATAATCAGTAACTTGTAGGATGGAGTAGTTGAGATAACTTCTTGATGTGGTATTTACTAGAGGTATACGACTAAATATAACAATACCACCACTCTGCCCTACATATGGTGCGGTAAAATCTGCTATTGACGTTCTGTATCGAAATCCACGTTTCGTCATGGCAGCAACCATTAATGTAGCACATTTTGTGATTACTGCGACTCCAGCGTTCAAAACGTACGCCTCTTGAATGAGTACAATGTCAAAATCATTTATTCCTTCTGCAAGACATTCAATTCTTTCTTCAAGACTCAAAATTGTGTGAGGTTTTAAAAAGTCACACCATAAGTTATAAGTAACCAGCCGAAGGTTCTTTCTGTGAGTCAATGTATGTTGTTCTATTCTGTTACTTTCTTGGACAATGTGACGAAAAAGCATTCTTTTTTCGTAGCTGAGTCCTCCACTCCAGATATTGGAACCAAACAGGAAGATTGCCGCAGCTAACGCGCCAATGACAAGTGTAGGCTTTAAATAGTCCCAAAGTGATTGTCTGCAATGATAGAGGAAAATCAGTTTGTCCCACTGTCATATAAAAGTCTCTTGTTCAGAGCTAGTTTTGTCATTCCTAACGGTAAGATTGCTAATAAGGTTTTTAAACGTAAATTCCTATCTAGAAGAATACTTGTAGAACATCATTAATTTTAGAACAGTGTAATTGGTCCTTGTTGTAACCGTGTATTGTAACCGTGTTTTGTAAAGTCGCATTAACACTTAATTGTTAATATCTGCATGATAGCTTTTTGTGTTCTTTTGTTTCTCTTTGTTTCCACATTTTGTTGGTAAAAATAGCTTTTGGTGCGTGAAGGGGAAGTGATGGAGGAGAACGTTGCAGTAAACGAGTAGGTACAGAAAGACTCATTTGTGGTGTAGAGCAGTGTACAAGAAAATAGAAGAAAGATAAGAGACGAAGAGTAAACGTCACAATACAAGCAGCTGTGCACGTTTTACGGGTGAGAAAACTTTACTCGGCGCGCGAGTTTGCTACAGGTTATGTTGAATTTTATATGGAAGTGTCGTGGTGTGTCGGATGTTTTAGGGAATGGTTCTGATTATGGAACGTTATCATTCATGAAATACTGGAAGTGGAGTGGACTTGCGCTGTAAAAGACGTCTGCCTCGGCGGTGACGTGTTGCCTGCCAACGTCGCTCGACTCTACATGTTCCCTTTTGCTTTGCCTCCGAGAAAATTGGGGGTCTTGGGGAACCAAACTGATTGTTTCCTTTTGTACAGAAATGTCAGGTAAAAACATTGAGCATTTGCCATTTCGCTGTCAGTCATGCATTTTAACCGATCCCAACTTGCGCGATTTTATAGAGTCGTGAAATGAGTGACTTGCTATAGTGGCGAGCTGCAGCGTTAAACAGGAGAGAAAGGCTGCGCTACAGTAATTGATGAAATTGCTGAAACTTAACTGAAGGAACCTCTCGCAAACGAAATCTGAGGGAAGCAAATAATAATAAAAAAAATTGAGACAACAGAGGTAGATAAGGAGAGAAACAGAATGTAAGCCCATTTTCACGGGTTACAGGTGAATAGTTTGACGATAGGTACTCTCAGTCGCTGATGCTGTTTCGACTTGTCACGCAGTAGACGTTGCGTGACGAGACAAAAACAACGGCTGCGAAGGGAGCTCCTGCTAGGAAAATTATTTACCACTTACACTACTAAAAAAGATACCTAAACGAACTGATATCGCTATATGACATCGATATCCAACCCGCCGAGCCTCAAGCTAGACGGTAACGGATCAAGGGTGCTTAATTAAATGTGTCTGAAGTAACTTGATTTGAAAGACTGGTAAAACAATATAGAGCGGCGACTGCCCATAGAACTCGCACACTGTTATCTGTTATAAGATCAATAACAGCTATAGTCCAGTGTTTAGATGCCAGTTTCGCATTTGCATGACAAAAAATAAAGAAACGCTATGCCCAGCACAAAAATTCTGGTATAAAAATAGTCACTCGAAAAACCGCTCAAAATAATTTGTATGATCCGGTAAATACTCTATCAAACAGTATTATTTACTAATATAACCACCTCTCACCCCTCCTTTGGCACTAATAGTCAGTCTCTCACTCCTCCCTGAGTAAAAAAGGCCCAAAACATCGGTGCAAAAATGGTCCAAAAAAATAGTCCAAAAAAATAGTCCAAAAAAATAGTCCAATAGTCCAAGGGTCCAACAGTCCAGTCCAGTCCAGTCCAGTTCACTTACCTTGCCCATAGGCTCACATAGACCGATCATGTACATCAATTACAGTACTGAGCTTTTATTTGCATGCCCCTCTTCTATTTTCTTGATTAAATATAATTTTTGCATTAAAAGAAGGGGGAAAGTGTGGCGGATATGCCTGTAGATTAGTACTTACGAAGTATTTTCCATTTCCATGCGACGCCGGCCCTAGAATTCGATAGCTCTAATGCGACTGTGGTTTTAAAACCTTTGCTTTGTTCGTCAATGTTCGGCCGGCGGCTGGCGCTCCTGTAAGTCGAAATTACACTGCAGATGAAAACGTTTCAGTGCTGTTCTGTACTGAGCAGAGAAATATCTATTCCAGTAGGGAAATAGTGTTAACACGGAATCACTCCTTCACTGATTCCTTCAATCGCTAATGATGAAGACCAGATACTGGTGTTTCCTCTTTTAAAGTGCAAATCTTTCGATAGAAGCTAGGAGGAGAGCGACCAAAAAAATAAAAATTCGTCACTAATAACATCAAAGCAGTGACTCTGCGCTTACAGAGGTAAAACGAATTATTGGACGTCGAGAGAACGAAGAAATATCGACAGACAACACAGTAAATTAAGTTCTTGTAAATTTAGTGCTTGACGGCCAATCTGATCCGTTTCTTAAATTCACAACAAAGGGGAATAATAAGTTTGTAAATGAGAGTGATTTCACCTGCTTATTCCCCAACATTGGATTTCACGTTTTCTGAAGAATATCGGTCTTATTCAGACACTCGGATATTTTAAAGAATCTTAGGACAGAGTCCACGACTATAAATGATCTACACGATCTAGCGATGCACAATTAACCAATGAAATGAAGTGCGTCACTGACAAACTGTCACTGATTTGTTTGAATTTTATCCAGCCGTGATTATTGTTAGCTGTTTGATGGCACATGTCTTACCATGCTTGCCTGATGCTTTAGAACAAAGACTAATGAATGTGAAATTTGTTTTTTTTCCGAGACGAACGTACTATGTGATACAAGAGGCACAAATTCATTTTTTATGTGGACGGCGAAGCTTGCCGCCAAGCTTCTCGCGGCTTTGGCTACTCGTTTCACCGCTCCTCCTATCTCAAGAAAGCCGCCATCTCTGCATGTTGAATACCTAAGTTTTAAGGTTGATTCACCCACCAATTCGTAAAATGGAAAATTTCACATCTGAGCAACATGACAAACTTAAAATATCACGCTCCAGGGGGTCACTTGAAGGGCTGCGATCAGGTATAATTACAGAGCGCAGGGCCACTTGTTTTCATCTCATTGAATCACAAAACATCCTTTTGTGTTCCGTATGGTGGATGCTCGAGCGATCATTCAAGGGCTAGGAACGAGTGTTGTCAGTCACGCTCTCCCTGGCCATTGGCCCACAGATCTTATTATGTTTGCTGTCTCCAGTGCGGTCTTTATGCAATATTTGCGGGAACGCAGCGCGAAATACTCCTCGTAGTCAGATGACCAAACGCTTCATTTGTTAACCTGCTTTCGCATGTGTTGGAAAATGGAGCATTCTAGAGCAAGGTAAATGTGGTCTAGTATCGAAAAAAGAGAGACCACGGTGTTGTAATAATGACGCCATGGCTTCTCCCTGGTAATAATGGGTAAAATTTCAAAAAGATGCTTTCGAGTGCACTATTCGAGTGTAAGTAGCCGCGAGTGAATTTTTCAGAGACGACAGATGAGCTCGTTTAACTTGAAGTCTTGAAAAACTGACAAGTGCTTATTTACACCAAGTCAAACGAGAAATCATGTCGTTACTTATTTACAATTTGCATGAAAAAGGCATCACAGAAAAACAAGACAGACGAAATTTGGACATCGTACGCGCTAATTGTAATTTGCACTCGTGTTTATACAGCTTTGTGTATCATGACTCTGAGGCTAAATGCTCCGCTGCCGGGCACGATCTCAAAATAAATTAAATTCTCGGCAGTCAGAAATTTTCATAGAATTTCCACTAGAACGTTCCTGTAATCTTCTTAAGAATAGCACACATTAGTTAAAAAAAGAATGTCAAGCGTTTTCATAAATTATTTTTCTTTATTGTTAGACAAATTCTCCCAGCTTGTGCATCGCTCGGTTGTCGCCACTTAGAAATTTTACACTTCTGGTCAGACTGCCGAGCACGGACTCAAATGGACTAAATGCCCTGCAGTTATAAATTGAAATATTCACAGAAATGGAATAGTGAATGAATCGATAATTAATATTATTATCTTGATTTCACCATGATCTCTGACAGAGATAAGTGATAAGAAGTGTAAACAATCTGTCAGTCTTATTTCTGCTATCACTGATCAGAAGTTCTTTTAAATTTTCCAGGTCACTAAAAATACCTGCTCAACTGCGTAAGAAACATGCACTTGCTGTTGCTACAGTTCCAGTGATGCTCCTTATCATCTACTACGTTTTTAATGCATTACAGGATGATAAAAAAATGCTATTTAATCAAGTTACTCAGCATGAGAATATGAAAAAAGGAAATCCTACTTTCAACTTGGAAAGGAATCTACTATTGGTGAGTTATAACTTATGGTGCACACTATGGCATTCTCATGGTGTTGAGGAAAGAATTGAAAGTCTTGTTGAGGGAATAAAGGATTTTGACATTGCTCTGATTCAGGAGGCATACATCTGGAATTTTGGAGTGGCTGTGTTCAAAAAATGTGCGTCACTCCTTGTTGTGGAAATGGAGAAACATGGATTTCACTTTAGAACATCCATCTTAGATTTTGTCCCCCCCTTTGGACAGAGTGGAGGTGTTGTTATATTTAGTCGTATACCATTAGTAAGAACAATTTCAAAACAATACAACTCCTCAATCTTCCAATATTTGGTCTATAGAGGTTTTGTAGTTGGAGAGTTCTTCATCAACTCCAAGCCCCTACATGTCATCAACACCCATTTAAATCCTACAGGAGTTGATTCTCGGGTTCAACAAGCAAAAGAATTGGCCAGGGCCATGAAAGACTTCAATCTGAATTCACACTTTGTTGTGGCTGGAGACTTTAACATTGATAACAATTACCCCACAACTAGTAACAGTAGTACGGAATTTAGAAAACTTCTAGAAACAATGAGTGAAACAGGCCTCCACTCTGTTTTTCCAGTACGAATGGAGACTAATATTGATGGTGGTAACTATGATGCAATGTTCATTAGTTCTAATGTTGCTGTGGTGAGAAAAGAGATCATTAAGCTGGTAACCAAAAAGAACAAATTTGTCTCAGACCATTTTGGCCTTGTAGTTGAACTAAAACTCTGGTAACATACTTGCACAGTAAGCTTCAATACAGTGTAATTAGTCAGCTGGTACAATACTATTTAAGATACTCCTCATTTATTTATATATCTGAAGGTTGAACTAACCAATAAGACATAACTTTTCTGTGACTCTGAGTTTCATGCTTACGCAATCATCAGACAGATTTTAATGATTAAGATCAGTCTGATGATCGTTTAAGCGTCAAACTCAGAGTCGCAGAAAAGTTATGTCTTTACTGATTACTTGAACCTTCAGATATACCACGCTCTGCGAACACATCGAGCACTGTACGGCAAGGATAGACTATAATCAAGATTTTATATATATATATATATTCTATTCTGGCAAATGCTATTTCTTTTTCAATCTCGTTTCCTCAAGAGTGTCAGGTTTACTCATTGCAGCTGCCACTTTTATTTGTTATTTGTTAAACTTGAGTCAGTTGCTGGTTCACTGAGAAAAAGAATCAGTTGTATTTTTGCATTATTATGAAGCAGGCTTCTACTATGTTTTTCCAGTACCAATGGAGACTAATATTGATGGTGGTAAGTATGATGCAAATGTGGTTTATATGATGCATTCTTACTTAAATTTTAGACTGGAATCTTTGTAAACACATGCTCTCATTCTTGATACTTGGCATCCACATGGTTTCTTTTCTATGTTTCAAATTAGTCTTCTGTAAGTTAGAAGGCTAGAGCTGTAAAAAGTTTGACACCTTAAATAAGTTACATGTCAATGTAAGTGTAGGTGATTGTATGTGTATTTGTGGGCTGATCATAAAAACACATGGCAAAACAGTTAATATATGTAATATTTTAATGGCAAAGAGTTTCTTTGAAAGCAATTTCCAATTAACCATCTGCACCAGCAATCAATGAATTTGAATAAGTTTCCTTTGAGACTTTGAATATTCTGTGACACGAGATTACTGATGGCTTATGAGAGAATTTCACAAAAGGGTATCTAATTATTCTACTTGAGAATTGCACAGACAAGCACATCCAGATGGGCATTTGCTGAAGCATTCAGGTAAAAAGTGCACTGGTGCAGAGTTAGTGCCTGTCACCTTTTTTACCAGCCACCTGACAAGAATAAATAATTAAAAACAAATTACTTTTATTGATTATTACAATATAATTGTTAAAACAAACATTTAGATAAATATGTGACAAATTAATAACAGTAAAATAAACAAAAACAGTAGTAAATTAAGTAAAATAACAATAAAATGGACAAAGTAACCAATCTTTGTTAACAATGTAACTGGAGGTTTCTTACCCTTTTAAATTCCTCCATATTGGTTGAATCCAGAGGGCTGCCAATAAATCCAATATACTCCACAACAGTTGTTTCTTCATTGCCTTGGTTGTTTTGAAAAAATAACTGCAGAAAACACAAATATTGAATAAATACTATCACAAATAATTCATTGTTTTACTGTGTGAATAAACTGAGGCAACAGCCAAAGAATTGTTGTTTCTCTCATGCCAATTGATCTACAGGCTTAGTCAGTCACGACAAGTTGTCAGGACAAATAGCTGCAGAATACACACCTATAATTTTTTCTCTAGTCCATAACTATACCAAAAAAAACCTGGCAAAGGACTGGGTTGTTACAGAACTGTTACAGATGACTTTCCCAAAAAAACTTATATGAAAAATGAATAATTATGCAATGTGTCAGTGTTCAGAGGATAAACAGACTACTAGTGAGAGCAAAAGAAAGACTGTAAAGAACACAGCTTGTATCAGTACTTCAGCTTATCAAATTTCCTTGGCTAAGGTGAAAGGGTTAGAAAAACAAACTGGTAAATTTAACATGTATAATCCCTCTTTTCAAGATTTAAGGAACATGAAGTAATAAAAAAGAATTCAATTTAACTAACCGTAAGGCTTTGGACATTTTGAAATTTGACAAACTTCAGTGGAATGATTGCATCCTCTGTTAAATCTTCTGGTGTTAACCTATTTAACATGGAGTGGTTAATATGGCAATACAGTACATAGCTAAACAAGACTAATTATCACAGCTACTGCTATGAGCTTATCCCAGTTTCTGTGACATGAAGTGACACGAGTATTGTGACTACTCCTGGATGGGTGCAAGTGGTAACATCCAAATTCTATACCAGATACATGTAGTTCCCAGCAGGTTTTTAAATTTACATTTTAATTTGCCAGTAAACATTTACACCACGGATGCCAGAGTTAAGTGGTTCTTTTTTTTTTTTTTTTAAGAACACAAATGGGGTAAGCCATATAGGACTGAAACACCTCAAGTTTGTGATTAGGGTTTGCTTGTGATGACCATAAAGGCTGCTGTATATATCTTGTGTTACTTTTACTGGTACAGACAAGGAAATTATCGAAAATAAAGATGAAGGCTAACTAAGAAGCCACTTGTTCTTATTTGGAACAAATTCAATTGAAATGTCAATAGTTCACTTTGCATCTTAATGTTTTTGGAAGAGAAGTCAGAACAATATGGCATACTCAAGAGTTTGCAGTGCTTCAAAGCTCTCTGCTGAGTCAAAATCCATGCTTTTTGTGTGGTTAATGAACAACTTGACTGTCTTTGGTCCTCTACCTGCAGTGAGTGAAAGAGAAAATAAATCAGAAACATTTTATAATAAAATCTAGTAGGTTGAAATGTATTAACAAGAACTGGAAGGTTACTGACCCTGCTGTCAGCACCAGAAAATGACCCTTTTTTGATTGACACTTACCATTTCCTGGTCCTTGAATCTTGAGTGAGTGTAGCTTGATAGTCTGATTGAAAGCTATCGTTATAAGTAACTAAAAAGACAATTGTAGAAATCCTCCATTACTGATCATTATCATAACTCAAACAAGGAACATTGTGGCTTGATGAACTTTACAATTCATTGCAGTTATGAGTGTTTTGAGAAAATGCAGTCAGTGGTCAGAGCCACAAATTCTTAGTCTGGAAGGTGTAGCTAGTGTAAGTGTGGATGACAGCCTGGGTATGAGACAACCTGGTTGGGTTCAACACATTTAATTTTGTTCTTGGGTAGGAAACATTACTTTCTCTGTGCTTCTCTCCAAAAAGGGATATAGATAAGACTGAAAAACACGTTGAATGTATGGCTGGTATTACTCATGATTAATTAGCTCCCCATCTACAAGGAGTCCAGTTCTTGAGTCACAAAATAATGCTTTGTTTTATGGGCAACAAGAGTATTTAAGCTTTGGACTTACAGCTCATCAGATCAATACGTTATTTAGAATTTCCAAACAGCTATCCTCAATTTCAAAATGAGCCCCAGTGCAAAACTTTTCAAGTGAGAGTGAGTTTTGTTTGCATCATAGTAATCATTAATTTTGAATTCATATCAAAGGCTTCATGGCCTTGACTTCATTTTAAAACAAAGGCATAAGGTACCTTTGAAATGGTCTATTCAAGTACAGCTATTAACAGGAGTAGATTGTGTTCCTCAGCACAGACTACATGTTAATGGTGAATTAGATTGTTTTGCAGTTTATGTACCTGTTCATCACAGTCACTTTCTAAGAAGTCAGGTCCCTTTGCCAGAGCAGCTGACAGATGGTGGTCATCACTTTCATTTAAACATTCACATCCACTCTTGTTAATAAATATTCCTAAATCCATCTGAAACATTAGTATTGATATCATAATTAATACTTAAAATGGATCCAATAAAAGGTAATTTTTGTCAGTTGTGATCTATGCAAAAATATCCCTCATTAAATAATATAATCAGCCCTAGTGCTTCTTGTGTCTTCCAACTTAATGCTGTTACATACAATACATTTAAAGCACAATTCACAAGGGGTGTTGTGAGCTCTGCACAATCTTTGAGATCTACATTTATTTTATTGTGTAAGCCTGCGATTTTCTGGTAATTTCTAATAGAAGGTACCTTTAAAATAATTATACCTACCAGTATGCTCAAATATAGTTGTACAAAGTTAAGTGATTGTGATTACTTCAAAATTGTAAAGATTGTATGAGACTTTCATTAAATCATGAAAATTGTATGATACTCTTGATTTCATGCAAATATGTAAACCATTTGCTACCTTTCACATAAAAAACTTGGAATGCGTTTAACTTTGCATGTTGTTTGTGCACAACATTCTTCATATTAATTTTCCTAAGTCTGCAGTTTCATTTAAATGTCAGCTGTGTACATGTACAATCAATTTTTTAAGAACTCCATGACTTACATATCCCTTAACTCCAGCCTCACTATCACTATCTCCAATCCATTGAATTATTTTTTCCTCCAGTTTCTTAGGATCAGCTCCTGACATTTCATCCACCTTCACTTTGCCCTTAAAAAACTGGAATGTGGGCATGGAAGTCACCTTGAGCCTGGCTGCTATGTCCTACAAAAATTCATTAAAAAGATACCAAAAGATGGTAAATATACATACATACATACATACATACATGCATGCATGCATACATACATACATACATACATACATACATACATACATACTTTATTTGCAGGTTGTAAAATAACAACAAAATGCTGATGTGGACCTGCTATATAATAGTATAGAATACAAAAAATATGTAACAATTAAGTGTGAAAAATTTAAGACAGTATAACAATAATAAAAGAAAGACATTTCAAACATTATTATTTCAAACTAACATAAAAAATATATGAATGCATTCATGTTGTTGTTGGTTGCTGTTGAATTGGTACCAAATGAAATTTTCAACTCTATCAAAAAAGAAAAAAATAGTCCTTTTGCCACAGATGTGGAACAAAGAAGAAATCTGAATCCCTGAAATATTTGGATTTTGTAATCATGTATACAGCAGTCTATCACTGATCTAGATGTGTACTGTGATTTAAACTGGTGTGGCAGCAAGGGAAGTGAATAGCAAAAAAGAAACACCAGTAATGGCATTAAGCAGAGCAAGTGCTGGCTCTCAGCCTGAAGCACCTTCTGCAATCTGTGTACCCACTGTGACAGACTGTTACAAGTGAGGATTGGACTTAACAGCCATCACCCAATGAAACATGAGGTTGTGGTTGTCATCAAATGCTCTAGGGAGAGTGAGAGTTTTTCACTAACCCATAATTGAAATTATCACAAATTACATCAATTGAGACAAGAGCCTTCAAGCATCCAGTAATAATTCTAAAAAAACAACTTTGCTTTGATTTGTTTGTTTTGTATTAATGACATTATGTATGTCAAAAGTTTACTTACATCACATTTGTCCACATCAACTTTCAAAAAAACTGCTGCTGTATACTTAGTACTATAATTTGAAAAAGTTGGAGCAATTGATTTACAAGGGCCACACCTGAAACAAAGAAAACAAATACCATGTAGCTTTAGGTTAAATATTGGTAAAATTCTTAGGGTTACTTACTTCTAATGAAGTAAAGCAGATAATGAGCAAGCATCCAGATTGCGGTGAAGGGATTTGTTTAATTCACCTTTTGGGCTTTAGATTTCACGTGTAGTATCACGTGATTTTTTATGTAAACAAACCCCGAAAGTTCGGACATTGAGTCGAGCTTGCAGCATATGTATCCAAACTTCAGCTTTGGAAATTTTTCTTAAATAATGTCCCACTTTCAAGAAGCGTGTCTTCGCTCAAAGAATCGCAGTTAGACAAAAGGAGAGAAGGCAAAGGTGGATAAGGTTGTGTCATCGAGCTGTCCTTCAGGCACACAAACAAGTCACCTCGATGACATAACCTTATCCACCTTTGCCTTCTCTCCTTTTGTCCAACTGCCCCCGGAAAATGAAAAAACTTGACTGGGTCACTGTTAGCGTTTCTTACCCAGCAGTTGAGGTATCGTGAATTGTTTTTAAGGTGCCATAAGCTCATCTCTTTGTAGTAACCATTATGTTTAGGTATACACTTACTAAACAACTTCAATCATACACGTTCGTAGCGTTGAAATCGGTTTTATTTTGGGAATCAAGGTTTCCTCACGTTCTACAGCGATTCGTGGGCACTAATTTCCTGTTGGACGGGGATTTATCCAACAATCTAATATTAAACACCCTGAAAATACCAATCAGATACATCACTGTACGCAGAACTAGTTTGATTATTCCATGCCAGAACACTTCCTGTAACATTCTTCGCATCTGCTTCAACGGCAGCGAAATGACAACTTGCTTAATAAACGATCAAATAAATGACAAAAGAAAGATGTCAATTTTGAGCAAAGACACGCTTCTTGAAAGTGGGAAGTTATTTAAGAAAAATTTCCAAAGCTGCAGTTTGGATACATGTGCTGCAAGCTCGACTCGATGTCCGAACTTTCGGGGTTTTTTTACATCAAAAATCACATGATACTACACGTGAAATATAAAGCCCAAAAGGTGAATTAAGAGACAAGAAATCAAGGATTTGGATTTTAGGGACCACACACATGTAGAAGCAACATGTAACTAGAATTGCAGTTAATCAGACCTACTATAGAGAAATATTTTCATTTTGCTGTCATAAACAATACTATGCTGCACTACTTTTTGTATGTATTTTGTAACTATGTCTGCAATATGCATTATTCTTCATATTTAGAATATTTGCTTCTTTTTTCAGTTATTTCATGGTTACATATGGTTACATACATTTACATGTAAATCTAAACAGAGGAATGAAATATATTTCACCCTTTCACTCCTATGATCTAATCAGTAATTCCCCTTACTATCTGCCATATCATTCTCATAATGTTAGCTAGGAGAATTTGGTATTGGACCAACAAATAATCCTCGGATTATAATTTTTCTCTATTCTCATTGCTTGTCCACTGAACATTATATTGATATTGCAAGGAGAAATTGTGTCTTAGTCACTCATGGGAGTTAAAGGATTAGTCGATTAGCACAAAGTGCTCACTTGCAAGTTGTAGACACTAAACTATAGCACTTCATTAGAATACAGAGCTTTGAACAACTCTTCCTTGAAAGTTTCTAGCGGTTATTCGCAATAATTGAGCTGGCTTGAAAATATATTCGGGCAAAGGAAGAAGTTGTTGAAAGACATTACAACTTTAAGGAACTTTATCTTTAGCAACTGCTGAGTCATGACCCACCGGCTTGTCTTGCCGAATTTGTGTAAGTATGATAATATGACAAAAAAAACATCGGCTACAAAGAGGTCAATTTCACTTCCTTATTTGCGCTTGCTCACAAAACGTAATGAATATCCAAACAGGCCAGTCGGTAGCAAACTCATTTTGTCAATTGTTAAGACAAAACATTTTTGCATATCCGGGCCATGCACACTGACACTTCCTCAAGAATCCAACCCTTCTCTTTGGGAGCGATTCACAGTTATGCAATTTTCTACTTACCAAGATGCTGTAAAGTCTACAACTACCAGTTTGGCGCCAGCTTTCGCCATTTCCGACTGAAAATGGCCGTCATTTTCTATAACTATTACATTGTCCGATGCCGCCATCTTGACCGAGGAGAAACTTCTTTGGCTGAGAAGGACTAAAATCGATTTTGAAGTATACCGCTGAGCAAGATTAATGTAGGCGCGCGGAATGTTGACAAGCAAGAACCAAGATGTCTTCCTCCTCTGTTGTACCAGTGGTTTTATGGGGAAGCACGCCTCCATCACACTGTATCTCGTGTATTATAACAACTTATGATCAGAAAACTGTCGTCACAGGATCAACAGACGGACAGCTGGGGATCTGGGACTTACGATTCGTGGAACATGGAGAGATCAAAGTAAGGCTGATAAGGGGAATTCTAAGATTAAAATCATTTACGAACAAGTTTGACGGTTACCATATAAATTATCACCATGTTCTATAATTTGCTCTTAAAATTAAAAGCGGTTTAACTCTGGATTGCATCAGTTCTTTTTTTCGATTGTTAGTCTATATTCAGAGATGTATTGATCTAGAAAGTGTCAGCTGATCACACACTGGCTACATGTGCATGTACAGGTACATCATGCCAAATTAGCTCAAGTATACCGAATTGCTGTGGTTGAGATTTTTGTTTTGTTGAAAAATTTGTCCTTGTTTCTTCATTTTAACTAAATTGAAGCCTCGCATAGATCCTTGTTTAAATTAAAAGCAAGCTTTGAGCTCTTGATCTGAACTACCCAGGAATTTTCCTCGTTCAGATCCTGATCTTCCTTTCGTCTCTCATACATTATACACGACCCCTTCGCCAGTGGATCTGAAACATGGCCGTGGGCTTCCATATAGAGTTTTTTCCCTAGACCTCATCCATACTTATCAGAAGGAGAAAATGGAAATGGGGGTACTAAAACATGATTGCCATCAAAGGAAATTAGCTTTATTGATCACATGTGAAATTAAATCAGTGACATTACAGTTCTCAGAAATAAATCTAAATTCTGTCGTTATTTTCCATAATAAATGAATACATTACACACTGTATTTTACTGAATACTTCAGGTCATACCTAGGAACCTTATATTTGCTCATTCAGCAAAAGTCACAGCACTGGCTAAAGCTACAGATGGATGGGACAATCAGTCCAGTGTTATAAGTGCAGCTGACAATGGGTAAGACACAACAACAAAATTTATACCACAAGAAAGGCACAAATTGTTTTTGCTTATAGTGAGATTTTCCTGCTTATTTCAAATTTTTAGCAGTCACTATAAGTGACAATTTACGGAGAATTTTCTCAATAGTAACTGCTGATGGTTGGAAGTATTTATGTAACAAAAAAATCACATTCTGTTTGCTGATAAGAAGTAAATTGGTGATTTAAGTGATTTTTTTCTCTCAGAGAGCTGTGCTTGTGGGACACAGATGATGGAATCTGCATTCAAGCAAATGTCATTCCAGGAACACATTTGGCTCTATTGGTATGTACATCATCTGAGAGGTGACTTACTGATTACCTGAATGAAGATTTGACTTTGACTCATTAACAGGTGGACAATTAATGACCAACTGGCTGACTGACTGACTAACAGACAGTGTGATAGACTGACCAACTATCTGACTGGTTGACTTATTGATAGAGTGGCTTACTGACCAAATGACTTACTGACTGACTTACCTGCGTACTACTAGCTAACTTACAGATTGGCTTACTGACTTGGTGGTTTGCTGGTTGACTGGCTGGCCGAGTGACTCACTGACTGAATTAGTCACTGATTTATTGACTGGTTTTTCCTGACTGACTGACTTGCTGACTAACTGACTCATTGGCTGACTGACTGACTTACTAAATGACCATCTGACTGTCAACTGAGATGGTGGGCTAATTTGGTATTTCATCTTATGAATGCATGAACACTCTAGCACAGTTACCAGAACAAAACATACGATGTTGTGCCTTGCTCAGCTCACATACTTAGCTGAAACTTCCGATATAAACAAATGGCCATCTTGGTCTAACTAACTACCAACATACATGTAGTTGACTAGTTGATTATAAGAAACACCTATTATGAGTAAAATATAATTAACAAGAATGACAGCTGTATGCTCTAATGTGAGTGCATTTCATTATTATTTTCAGTCTTTCCATGTTAGCATTGGCACAGGGAAAGAATGGCGTGTTGTGTGTTATGGCAGCTATTCTGATATTCATGTCCTGGATGCTCTGTCTCTTGAGGTAATTGAATTCAAACTAATTTCATGAGTTCAGTTTAGATTAATGTTGTTCATTGTTAAAGGTATAATGGTTATGATATTAAATGTAGCCTTAATAATTCTTCATGTGATTTAAAATCATCATAATTCTTGAATCATGCTATCATTCGAAGACCACAGTTTTTTTATTATTAATACAGCCATAGGAATTTTGCAATCTTTAATTTGATATCTTGACTCTATAATTGATAATGACTCTAAATTGTGAGACGAACAATGATTTTTCACTGTCAGTTACAACTTGTACTCAATAATCTGGCTGCCATTGGTTTAGATTTTGTACACTCTACGTTCTCCATCAGCCCCCAATTGGATCAGTTCAGCATGTGTCGTGAGACCTGCAAGAAGACCAGGTATAGAAACTACTGTAATGTTATTGTAGTTACTTTAGAGTAATTGGTAAAAGTTAGTTGGTTAGTCTTTTTGGGCATCCATGCACATAAGGCCTAATGGCAAGAGAAAGCCATGAATCTTTGTTGGTTGTCACATGGTCAATCTGCTTCTGAGTCCAGCCTCTGTCCTTCATTTCCCTTTCTACAGTTCTCCAAGTGTCCCTTCAAGAGTCTTTATGAGAAACTGATATAATTGGCAAATGTAATAATGGATTGCATTTTTGATACAATTACTGACCTATAACTGTACATTTCTGTTTTGCCTCAGATGATGTTGTTGTTGCAGTCTCCTTGTCTGGTATGCTCAATATTTGGATGTTGAAGCCAAATGTGGAGTCCAAGGTGTGGTATTCAACTGTCTGTTAACTTTCAGGTTGTACAAGTCTGTTGTTGAGATTTAATTGTAAGAGGCAAAAAACTTTCCTTGTCCAGGGGGAAATAGCAGAGTTCTTAACAGCTTTGAACAAACTATAAAACTAATAAAAGCTATCACATGTATGAGCTCATGCAATCACATGCAGTTTTCTTTGATGGATTTGAGTGATTGGAAACTATAGAGTTAACAACTGGGTCATTAATTTTCTATAACATAACTTTAAAGTTTGCAATTTAGGCTAAATTTGTAGCTGTCACTTTATTTACTCTATTCATTTAATGTTATTTCATTGGTTTCTTTTGTAACAGTACAATGAACCCACATTTGAACAAGAATTGAGCCAAGTTGCCAACAGCAAGGCTGCAGGGATCTGTTGTAATCCTTTCACTCAGCGCACCATTCTTGTGGTCTGTGCAAAAGAGTGGCTGGTGGGTTCATACATGATTGTGTACCTGATGGTTACCTATTTTTTGTGAGATTTTTATTGAACTTGCAATAGAAAAAAGTGAGACTTAGAGTCCTGCAAAAACAATAGTTTTAAAAGTTAATAATGGACAATTTATCATTTATGTTTTGCTGACTTAAACATCAGTTCTTTTACTTAATTATTGATACAAACTACCACTGAAATGTGACTTTAAGTCCTGCAAAAGACATGCCTTTTAAAGTTAATCATGGACAATTTGATACCCATCATTCATTTTTTGTGAACATAAACACCTTTTACATAATTATCGGTGCTTTGTCTTGTAACCATGCAAGTAATGTGGTAGTTGTAGAGTAGGCTTTCCTGACTGCTTGTAACTGTACAGGATATTCAGTTGTGTAACAATGTTGTGTACTTCAAGTTTTGTCACTGTCCAATTGCAGGCTTTCATGCTAAATTACTGGATTGTAGCTCTTTTTTCCTTGCCAAATCACAAAATGAAGTATTTCAGAATATGCCTCTAACTTTTCGTAATATCATGTAAGTGCAGAAACAATGACATTAATAAACATTGCCACACAACCTTCTTTTTTAGGTAACTTAAACATCTTAAAAGTTGTAGTGTTAATCAGAATTTTGCTTACTCAAAATTTTACTCATATGTAAGGGAGAATGTGTGCACTTCCATGGGTTTAATGTAGACCAAAAGTCCACAAACTGTTTATTTTAATAACTTTACATGTATGCTGTATTTGCCCTTCATGGCAGATGTACGATGCGGGTGATTTCAAATTTCTAACAACCGTTGCCAGTCCTCCTGGCCAAAACTGGATGGGTGGAGACTTTGTAGCTGCAGACTTTGTACTAGTATGGAGTAGAGTGAGTTGAAGACATTATTTTACTGTGATCATTTGTAGATGTTTATTATGAAAGGCAACAAGTTATTCATTTTGTATTTTGCACACAGGATGGGAAGAGCTACCTGTTCAAGCTTCCTGCTTCGTAAGTACAATTTGAAAATTCAATTATTATTGTTATTATGATTACGTTATGGCATCTAAAAGCAAGGATGGATGTAGACAGTTGTATTAGATGGTCCAAGAGTGTTATCGCAGTATTACTCACGGAACAATTCTGCTTCTTTCATTAGATGTTGTCCAGGTTTTCAAGACCAGTGGAAAGGTCTGTTAATAATAAATATTACTCTGTTTATCATCAGGACTAACTCTATTACCTTTGCTATAGTTTGATTGTCTCTCTTTTTACGTATCTTTTAACTGAAGGCGAGCGCTAGGCGATCAAGGCAAGATGAGATAGGTGCAAAAAAACAAAAAAAGGAAAATGATGTTTCCATCTCTCCCTTGTATCGTTCCTCTTTGAAAAGTAAGGCCTGTTTTGCAGGCTTTCCTTACCACTCCTTTTGTGACCCTTAGACAGGTTGTCGTCTAAGGGTCACAAAATATTATATCGAGCCAAAGCTCGATATTTCTAAGGGAAGAGATTGACCCCATGGTTGATTTTTAAGGTAGAGGAAGGTTGAAGAGGGAAGGAAACTCGTATCTACGTATACTCTACTACGTATAATATACTCTACGTATACTATATCTACGTATCCTACGTATACGTGTAGGAGGTGTTAGATGGAGAAGGAGAAAGGGGGAAGGGATGGGGGGTAAAACTAGCTTACATGGGAAAAGAGGTTATTCCTAGCAAATATCGACACAGATCAAAACCCAACGTTTCAAATACTGTTTCATGAGTGAATGTCTTTTAAATAGGTTTAATGGGCTGTATTTGTCAATACATTCTGGTATTTATCTGGAACATTTGCTCTTTCAAACGTTATAAAGACCTTGAAAAATGAAACATAAGCTTCGATAAGACGTTACATAAGTATTTACTTGCTTTGTTGTCCGTAGGTGATCCTATCAAGGAGCCAAAAATCATTCAGGTGTTTGAAGATTCACATGATCAGGTACTTGTGAACACAAATTATCTAAGGTTGTCGCATTACTACAATCATTTCCATAGGGTTGTTTCTAAATCTTGAATTCTTCTGTAGAGCGCTGCCTCAGACTCTGACCCAGCCATGTTTTTCTCTTATGGTCGAAGAGGACCTTTCTACAAGCTGTTGTTGAAAGGCAGATCAGATGGAAGGTAACCAAATTAATGCAGGTGGAGCAGATGAGTAAAGCAATTAAGAATTTAACTTTTGAATTGTCATCTATCTCTTGCATACAAAACTTACATACATAATTCTATCAATAAATTTAGATCAAACTTGGCAATCGTGCGAATGTAATTGTGATTGCAAATCTTGTATATTAATATGCAGCATTGTTTGTGGCATGTTGCTTTGAAGCATTGCTGTGATATAGGAAAATGTCTTCAAAAAAGTTCTTTTTAAGTGAGAGACAAAATCGAATTGAATTCTTTATTATAGTGCCGTTTAACGGTAATAACGTAACAATATTAAATAACTAATCGCCAGTTTTGTTGAATCATCCCCGAGACAAAGACAAGGGCATCATTCAAATTTATTGCTTCAGCACTAATCACCTCGCGCAAGGTGAGTATAACAAGATATGAAGCAATCCTCGACCAATCAGAGCGCGTGAATCTCCTCGATCACCGGAGCACTTACACTAATAAATATTAAAGCCTTTCATCAATTTTTTTGTGTTTTTAGTGTCAATGTTTGGAAACTAACCGACGATATCTTCACGTCAACAAAATCTCGAGATGCTAGCTCAAAGGGTAATTTGTGAATAGTATGTTGAATCTCGTTTTTCTGTTCCCCAGTCCAGTTACGCGTTTGATTAGATAATTGAGGAAAGAAAGTAAAATTGACAAAAACGCAAAAAAGCCAAAAAGTTAATCGATTGGCATGTAAATTAACTTTTTTATGATCTTACCGCTAGTAGTTTACATCTGCGATACGGATTAGCGCTTTAGTTGGAAAAAATAGATTTTCTCAATCAGTGGCTATTTTTGTTTTTCGTTTGCATTTTTTGCAAAATTTGTAAATACTTTCAAATTGGAGGTCGTTCTGTTACTTATGAGAAGATGCACTAAGACTCCCAAAATTTATTTTTGTTGGATTGTATGATTTAGGTACGCATCCTGTGGTATCCTGCAGTTACGCTGACTGCTGGGAGACAACTCTGAAGCCCTGTGGTCTTATCGACTCTCTGGTAAGTTGACGCCTTGAGTTAAAGGTGAAGAGGTTCAGGATACCAAACTGTTTTGTTGCGCCAAGAAATGAGTGAAAAAATGCTGTTGTAAGTAACAGAAAAATTGTGGTAAACTCGTAATCACTAGCGCGCTGGAATCTGAATCGAAGTACCCCGGATCGAGGACAGGTTAAACCCTTAAGTTGATTTTCTGAATGAATAATTTAATCTCACTGTGCCCCTCTTCATTCGGGAGTGTAAGAAGGTGCTAGAGGTGAATAAAGATATTCCTTTATATTACAGAAAGTGGGATAAACTCCTATGGATTCGACCACGTGGCTAGAGCCCGAGAATTTGAAAATAGACTCAGGAGAACTTCGTCTTTGATAATCACCATTAAAAGTATCGGGTGCTATGGCTTATTTTGCTGTAGCAGTGGAGTGGCACAGTGAAAAGACGAGGAACTGTCGTTCCAAAAATCAATATTCACTTGTAGCGCAAATTTAACTGAAAAAAAAAGGATGAACCTTTTCTTCTAATTTTGGTTTAATACACCCTTTTTACTTAGTGCGCTTGCTCTAATTAAATGATCTGATTTTTTCATTCCGTAGGATGATGGCGGACGAACTACCCCCCTGAGTGCTTCGCTTTATTTACCTACGCAAGACTGTATTGTGTGTGGCCGTGAGGATGGTTCCATTGTTATAATATCAGCAGCAAAAGCAGCGATAGCTCAGCTGCTTCAGCCCCCAGGCTCAGGTACATGTACGCCTCTGCTATCGCCTTTTCCTCAAATCTTGAAACGTTTGCCTTGTTTCAACTTGTTGGATAGTTATAATTGACTTTTTTCGTCGTGAGTCAGTATTAATCTACTTTGCGCAAGTTTATGGAGCATTCGTTCATTGGTTATTTATTTATTTATTTATTTATTTGCTGGGTGTTGTCTGTGTTACCTCAGTGGCCAGGCACGAATGTACCGTGGTATCAGATTAATTATAATAATAGTGACAATAATAACTTTTCTATTAACCCTTTAACTCCCAAGATCTGATTGTTAACTCTCCCCTGTGGCTGCTACACATTTCCTTGTAAATTATTTATGAGAACTTGGTGCTAGATCAAGATAACAGCTTCTATCTGATAAGTTTGAATATTCTCATTACCTGTTTGCTGAAGAATGTATGGATATTGTAGGGAGAGGTTTTGTGTTAATCACTTCTGGGAGTTGAAGGGTTAATAATGATAAAAATTATTATCTATAGCGATGGTTATGATAATAAAAATGATAAAAAAATGATGAAAAAAAACCGCCTAAAAATTAACGGGACAGTTTTACTCACTTTTTGTTTTGAAAACACTGAAAAGTAAGGCTAGCGATAGACATTTTTCATTTTAAACACATCTTTTTTTTTAACTCGCGGCTTTACGAAACATAGGAACGGGTAAATTTTATAATAGATAAACCGATTCTTTATCTTGGTATCGTATGATAATTGGCCTTAAATGCAATCCTTCGATACTCTAAGTACATTCTGTACAGGATATCCACGAGTTTGCCTTTGTATTTTTTTTTTTTTTTTGTTTTGTTTTGTTTTTATTTTCCTTTGTGGTTGTTGTAGTTAAGCCAAAAACAAAGTGAGTACGGAATAAAAACAAAAATAAATGTGTGATTTTGGATTCCATCAGTTGCGCTGAAACTAAAGGAGGAAACATTCTTCAACATTTTCGCACGAAAACAAAAGTTGTTAAATGGCAATAGCAGTAAGGTCATTTGGTTCAGTGAATGACCACTTGGGGTAAACATCGAAAATGTTAGTGTCACTTCATATGTTTGTATCTTCATTTCCTCAGGATGGCCTGTGCACAGGGTGCTGTTAGGGCACAGAGGCCGAGTGACCTGTCTCCTGTACCCACACGATGAGTATCCTCGATATGACAGGGAATTTCTAGTGTCAGGAGGAGCTGACTTTTCTGTCAAACTGTGGGACATTTTTACTGGGGACCTATTGTATACGTTTTCTACCCATGGAGGAGAATTGCTGCGACTAATCTGTACTCCACCCGAGTGCAGTGTAAGAGTTTTGCTTGACGGTTTAATTTTGTTTTGGTGTTTTTCCTCACTAATTTGTTTTTGTCTTCAACGTGACTTAAGGTATTCTTCATTTCATTTATTTATTCTTTATTTACCTATTCATTTATTCATTGTTTTGCCTTTTATTTTTAGAATCGCGTCCAGTACTGTATCTGTTCTGTAGCCCAGGACCACTCGGTTGCGTTGTTAGGACTTCGCGAGCGTAAGTGCATCATGTTGGCCTCGCTTCACGAATTTCCCGTGGAGACAATAAAGTGGCGGGCGTTGGATGATTTTTTGGTGGTAGGCTGTACTGACGGCTCGGTGTATGTATGGCAGATGGAAACAGGTAAGGGTTAAGGTTTACGAGGATTTTCTTGGATTGGTTGAGTAAATTGCACAAGCCTCACTATACAATTTTCCTTCAAAGTTAAGTTTTTCCCTTATGTCGTTGTTATGGTCGCTGTTTCTTATTTATTAATTTCTTATTTATTAATAATAATGTCTTATTTATCGACATTATTATCCAGGTCACCTCGACCGGTGTGCAAATGGCCAGGTTGCTTTGAACATCTTATCTGCGTGCGACGAAGAGAAGAAGTGTCCTTCGTCTAGTGTTCCTTCCAAGTCGAAGAGTTCTCTGGGAAGAAAGATCAGCCACATCACATCAAACCTTCAGACGAGCGCAGCTTCCGCTGCAGTGAAGAAACTCAGGCGAAGCATCAACCAACAAGCAGCGGCTAGTCCATCTTCTTCCTCAAAACTATCTAGTGAGTAGAACCAAGAGATTATATCAGTTTCTAATCTCTTGGTAGAATGGAGAAGCTAAAGTATATTCAGTTACCAGATCACGACAAACCCGCTAAAATAGTTTCTTTTTTAAACCGTACGGGATAAAAATCTCGATATCAGTTAATTTAGCAAAATAATCCATAGATTTAGTTCGGAGAGAAGCAAACGTTAGAGGTTTAAGCAAAAACAGTCCAACGGACGTTTGGGTGCAAATTACATGCATATATCCCGGTATATTTATGACTATCGATTATTTTTCGTACGTCATTGTTGATATCGAATCGTAAGGAGTTATCTTTTCTAGAGACCACATTACTTTTTTTTTCGGGGAGGGGGTAGGGGGAAGGGGAACGCAACCGTGTAGAAAAAGAACGTCCGATCGCTGTTTTGACATTGCTTTGCTTCGCTGAAAAGAACAAAATTAAGGGAAAAAATGAGAATATTGCGAGTCGATTGAGCCTTCTCTCTGTGGTTTATGCCAATTTTTATAGCAAGTAACGAAAACAAGAAGAAGTATTGTTGCTCCTTCTGAGCGGGACGGTAGTCTATCGCAGGTTATCCTTAGAAATCCTCCTTGTCACCCGACCAGTCTGCCGGTATTTGTGCTAGTCTTGCCAAAGATTACAGTGCAGTGACCCGCTTCAGGCTTAAACCAGCCCGCTATCCATCAGGCCATTAGGGCTCCATCTGAGGTCTTCTAAAACACTCAGTATATCGTTTCATTCCTTTAATCCAAGGTGACGGTTATGGCGAGGTTTTTGCCGGTGGTCCACTGAAAGTGATGTCTACCAAGTGTGGGAGCCGAGATCCAGAAATACAAGTGCTTATGTTTGATATAGAGGCGCTGATATGTAATTTATTAACTGAAGAAAACCCACAGCTTGCTGGTAACTATAAATTTTTTTGTTATCACGTTCTACGATTGCCTATTACTTTCTTTGTTTTACTTCATATTTTATATTTGATTTCTGAATAAAAAGTGCGCCTTGGTTGTTACTTCATTCCCTTTTTTCTTAAGTTCTAATTTTTTATGGTCTTTGATGTATGACCTCTGTTTACAATCTGAGGATTTTCTTTGTAAAATCACTTCAACAGTATACTTCGCGATCTTCATTTCTCACAACAGTAAAAGGTCGTTGTCGAGCCCTCCGACAAAGAATCAGAATGTTTCGGCTAAAAGCATAACCATGCAGTTGTGTATTCTTTTTCGTAGATTGCATATTATTTTGGATACACGGTGTCGTAGTAAGGTAGTTTTCGTAGAGTTCTCCGATTGGATATTTCGTTCATTCTAGAGCGTAAAGTGAGTTTCGAAAGACTTCATGCGTGGTTTTCAACGAATTTTTCATTATTCTCTACAGCTAAATTGTCCAGCAAAGGTGACGTATCGAAGACAGCCGTAGGAGGGAGAAGAAGAAAACGAGATTCGCTAACAACTCAGCAAACGAGGAGCGATGCAACTCAAAAATTTACGCACCAAAACCCCAAGAAATCGTTAGTTACAAATGAAACACATTATGTAGCCCAACTCATGATCTCGTGTCTACACTCCTGGGATCTGGACCCTAACATGGATGAGGTGTGTGTTGAGAGACTGGGTCTCCTCAAACCAGTCAAACCAGTTTCGTTTGGACTGCTAACTCGAGGAAACAGGCTTTCATTGATGCTGCCGGGATGGTGTGGAGAAGCCGGGGAAGGAAGAGAAAGTGATGCTGAAACTGCTTTAAAAAGACTTTCTCCTGATAAAGCCATTTTTACTGAGTTTGAAATAACAAAGAGAGAAAATGAGAAATCGAATTTGTCTTCCGATCCAAACATTGCGTCAGCTTTAAAGACTTGCTTTCAGTCACGCTGGCAACTTTCCTCGGCTTTGACAACTCTGCATCTTGTGGGACTTGTATCCGTCGCTAACACGCTAATGAGCATGAACCAGATCAGTTTTGTTCCTCAGGAAAAGCGGCTTGCTCTCGTAACGAACACAGATCATGACATTCCTCCCATCTCATCGAGTTATGCCGAGAACGAACAACCTCCTGGTTTAAGTGAGACGGAAGTGCAACTTGCCATGAATCACCGTGCACATATCAAAGCCGGGTGGAGTCAGCTTGCTGCACTGCACTGTTGTCTGTTGGCTGACATTCTGAAGATTTCCTCCTATAAGCCACCGCTTCTGCATATTCTAGCAAGGAGATGGCAAGATCGATGTCTTGAGGTATGTTTCACTTCGCGCTTTTTTGAAAGAGTTCTTTATAGATTAATTAGATAGTTAGCCATAAAATAGAACAATGTATCAGTGTGTATCGTTAGTTCTTTTCCATCTCGCAGGTTCGTGAAGCGGCACAGGCTATTCTATTAGCCGAACTGCGTAGGATTGGGTCCGAGGGTCGTAAGCAAGTGGTGGATACATGGGCCCCTCAGCTACCAAAGTCGCTTGAACAGTCGGGAGGGACTGAGGACAAAGCTGAGAAGTCTGATCCTGCACCCTCCCCTACCACTTCTATTTTGGGGTTTGGTAAGTTCTCAAAAATTGACCAGTCGTCCCAGTAGAGTGTTAATTGAGTAATGGGTTGATTCAGCTGATGGTGCAACGCCGCCCAACTGAATTTTTAAACTTCATTGATGAGGAGACTGTAAGCAGCTTGAAAATTGGTTTGTAAGTCTTGTAAAGTGATTGGTTATCTTTTCTCAGAACGCAGTGTAGACGTCCAAAACGTTGAAGACGAGGTCCTGTTCCCAACCGAAGACGTCAGCACTGTCTTAACCAGCGTTAAGAAGTTGCTTCAATATGACATGCGCCGTCGACAGGCAACCGCCATCGTGCTCATGGGAGTGATAGGCGCAGAATTTCAGCGTGAAATTGAAGTATATTCGAGTCGTGAGCGCGACGGTGAAAAAAAACAGAGCACAAGCTCGCGAAGATTAGAAAAACTGAGTGAAACTCCAGGTAAAGATGGTAAAATCGTGCGAAAGAGTAACAGCGAACGTAAGTGCTGATGTTTAAGAAGGCTCTTAAGGGTTTTTTGGCCGCGCGAGATCTGGGTACGAACGTAGCACGAGCTTTGAAAAGGTCAACATGCAAAAGGAACAAAGCAGCTCGATACGATCGCACGACAAGGTGTGTTAAAAACAGTTTACACAATACAGTTTTTATGTGATGGAATCTAGGGTTTCCAAGAAGTGCACCCGTAATATTCATTGGCCTTCTACGCCTTAAAAAGAGTTCAACCGAAAAGAAAACACCCGGGAAAAGATTGTCAAAAGGCGACAGATTCGAAAGTCTACGCATGGCGAAGTTCTACTCCATTACGTGTTGTTTTGCTATAAAGAAAATAGGGATATTTCAAGAAAGATTTATCACGTTTCCTTCGGTGGAATTTCCAAAGATTTGCTGGAACGTTAAACATATATGTGCCCCTCCTAGTGCCTGTTAAAGAAAGAAATTAATTCGACCAAATTTGAGATAGAGGAAGAAAATAAAAAATTGCAAATAGCGATGAAACTGCCTTTGAAACCCCTATTTTCTTCGGCTTTTAAATGATCGGCAGGACAATTTTCACAAATTGTGAAAATTTTGAGAGATTTCACCAAAGCAAATTGAAGAAAATCAAAGCCAAAGCCAAATTATCACTGATGAGCGCCTCCCTTCGTGGAGCCTTAGCTTAATAACGAAAATGATTTGGATAATATTTACTGCAGCAAACGATGGTGCGAACCTTGCTCCTAGTGACCTTTAAAAACGAAAACAAAAATTTACTAGAAAAACATTACGCTGGCGCGCGCCAACATTGAACAAAAACCCTATGGAGCCTCCTTAATTGCTTGCATAACCTAATTATCTTTTAATTATCTTGTATAACATTAAATCGTAATATTCTGTATAATATTAAGTACAATTTCTGGAGAGCGCCATGTTGGCTAATTAATCTCACAACTTAGTGGAACTTACCTTGTCTTAGCGAAAACTATGATCGGCAAACGTTAATTGATACTCTAGAAAACCATACGGGTCGTTAGTTAAATTTGAAACAGTACTTTACTTACCAAACAAAATATAAACAATCTCCTTCGTTCACGTTTTCTCGTATTCTTACAGTCTGATGGCGAATTGCACAAGTTGATTACATGTGTACATGGTTTCTTTTGTAACCTTTTCTGGTATTTTCAGGTGGTGAAGTTATCATGGATTACACTACAGTACGTCTCACTGGTAAAGCTCTTATGTATCTCTTACTCAAACCCCCTTCGTCCCAACTTACGGCACACACGTCAGTCAGACGAGCAGCCATTGATCTGATTGGTCGGGGGTTTACTCTTTGGGAGCCATATATGGACGTTTCAGCTGTCTTGATAGCGTTGTTAGAACTCTCGGCGGACAGCAAGAACCGAGATCTCACATTCAGGAAAGGTTTACCATTGTCGCCGTCAGCAGATACTCATCGATCAGCGAGGCATGGGCTGTCACTGATTGCTACAGCACGACCTGCGGTCTTCATAGCGACCATTGCGAAGGAGGTGAATTCATTTTCGCTGTCGCTAAAACATAAGTAAAATAATTTGTCAAACCATCGCAAAGTTAAAACGTGTAACAAAGCAGAGGTGCCGTCTGAACAAGAACCTCAACTGCATTGCAAAGGTTTTCACGTAGTGCAAAGTTGTCGTTTGTGATGTAACAGGTAGTCAGCACTCACATAAACCGTGTTCAGAGTTTGCCATTTATAATGTAATTAATTGAAACGTGTCTCCATTGAACATCTAGGTGGCTCGCAGTGTTTCAGCGGCTTCTTCTATCTCCTTTAATCAACCTTCTCCAGCAGCCATTGCGGTGTACAGCCATGTTCGTCACCAGCCCTCTCAGAATGCAGAGGCTCAGAGCACGTCCATATTGAACAGAGCTAAGCACGAGATACTGCGGATAATTGACCTCATGGTTGAAAAGACACAACAAGAAGTTGTAGATCTTTTAACAGATGTATGAACTACCTTTCTATTTTCACGTATAACTATACATATAAGTTTTTTTTCAGAAGGTTTCACGGGGTTTATCTGTTTAACAGATGCAGTGCACTAATGGTAGTTTGCGGCCTTTCCCTTCATCTAGGCATCTAGACGGCAAAACTCTGGAACAAATATTTATCTTTCAAATCGGCAATCCTAATCCTTATGGTATCAACGAACGCTTTTCATTCCACTAATTTACTCTTGTTTCTCAAATTACCATGTTTACGTCTCGCTCAGTCCGAGACACCTTATCACCGACCATTTGGTTTCTTTTGAGCGGGCCTTTCACCAGGCTTTCTCGTTGTTTTTCGGAAATTGGGACGAGAGAGGTATCTGCGTTTGTGTTCGTTGGTTCATTGCCAGTTGTTGCGCGGTAACAATGACGAAAACTGATACACCTAACTCTGCCATTTTCCCCCAGGTTGTCGACATTGTTGTTTACTGTTTGGATCAGAGACAACTCAAAGAGAAAGGAATGACTGAATTATTCCCTGGACTATGTCGGTACGTTTACTGTAAATACTGTCGCATAAACCTACGTTCGAGCATTATCGCGCTTTATGCACCAGTTTCTCTCTGAACAGAGTCACGTGTCACGTATCACGAGCAATTCATGTGTTTATTATTTTTTTTTTCATTTTCTTGTTCTGTTTGACGTAATGATAATCCAGTATTGCAACAAGAGAACGTGTTCTCTAGATCATAATTAAACGAGTCCTTGGCTTGATCTACAACTGATTTTTACTCGATCGCACCCTTCGCGCTTTTGGCAACGGCTTGGACTAGCCTTTGTTTGTATTGGGGTCATCGTTCTCTACGGTAATGAATGTGTAGACCACTTTCACAACGGTGGGCATGACTTCTATTCTTTTGCATACAAATAGGCCTTGTTGGCCTCGCTTTGAATGAACATTTGATTGTTTTTAAACATGCTGTCGCGGCCAGAAAGCCTGATTTACTTAATTATGAAATATAGCAATTTATAAAAAATAGATGCTATTCCACTTTGACAGGTTCAACATGGTGAGTTACTCACCCCAGTCCCGCCGCCTTGCAGTTGGAGCGAAGAATGGTCAGTTAGCTTTGTATGATCTGCGGTCGTCGCGCTGTCAGGCAAGTTTAGTCGTGTGTTGTTTTATTCTTTTGATATTTCACATGGGAACAACGACTTTGTTTAGAACTTTCAGTCATCCTTCACTTTCTTTCAAATAGTTTTGCCAAATGCTAAATTCCAGTTTCAAGTAGCAAAGACACTCTTGATGCATTTGCAGGAAGTAACCGTTACCTTCATGTTTGAGGCCTGATTGTGTTTTTGAAATGAAAAGCTTCAGGAGCGATTCAGTTCAAGTTTTCTCCTCAAATTTATCACGTTATTTTTCCATGTACTACCTTCGATCATTGGGAGAGCGACCGTAAATAGCTAACAATGATTGTTGTTGTCTATACCCCAAACAACCTTTGTTGAAAGTTCTTCTTTCCTTTGATAGCGCGCAATAATCCCATCGTTAGAGGTCCTAGAATCTTTTCAGAATCGGTTACTTTATAATCCTTGTTTACAGATGGTTTCAGCTCATTCTTCTCAAGTAACAGCCCTGTCTTTTTCGCCTGACGATCGCGTACTTGCTTCATACAGCTTCGGAGACTCCAAAATTTGTTTCTGGCAGGTAATTTTCAGATTAAATGAAAGAGATAGAGCGTGCGAAAGAGAGAGAGAGATTTGTCATACCTAATTTTATTCGATCGCCTTTGGTCAAGTGGTGATTTGAAGGTGCCCTTCAAAATCAGAAATTTGTTTTATGTTGAACAAATTACACCCTAATCTAAATTAACAGTCAGGTCAACTATTAATAATCCTTTTTTTTTCCGACAATCCTTTATACAATTTAGAATTCTTCAAAGTATCCAGTTTTCGATTATTACTAGGCCTTGTTTGGTTTTTTACCCTACCGTACTTTAGGAAGTCCTACAATTCTTCCC